TCCTGGGGAATATGAAGGGTAGGGGAAACCGGAGCCCGGAACCCGATGATGGCGTTACCTGAGCATGTGGGAATGTGGGAATGTGGGAATGCCCCCTTCCTGCCCACCCGGGGCATCATGGGAGGGTGGTGTGGCGTGCAAGCATTTCGTTGTGATGGTTGTGGGTTATGGCGTGGTGCCGTACAATACCTTTGCGTAAGATGATGGAAGGTGACTGCGTCTCTTATTTATGTGTGTGTACGTATGTATGTATGTGTGTATGTGCGTGTCTGTTCTCCCCCCCGCGGTTCCTCACCCGGCCCCCCAGGTGACGAGTGTGTTGCAGCAGATGTTGACGACCACCTCGGCAGACGCCACTCCCCAGGGCGAGGAGGCGCAGAGGGTTCTGGGATTCTTCATTAACAGGTGGGACAGACAGACAGACATACAGACATACAAACCGACATACAGACAGACATACAGACAGATAAATAGATCTATTGATTGACTTATCGACTGACAGACTGGCTCCCTCACAGACTCGCTGACTGTGAGGCGAGGACGTGATGCAACCTCGTCTAGCAAGGCAGCTCCCCAGCCGTTCACCGCCATCACCGCGCGCCACTCTTAACACCCTCCTAGTCCCGTTCTCCACTCGTTACAATGCTTTGTATGCGTGTATGTATGTATGTATGTGCAGTCTGGGCCACCCCTCCCTGGACAAGCCCCAGAGCGTGGAGTTCATGTTGAGCTGGTCGGTGCTGACTCCCGTGTACGAGGAGGACGTGTTGTACGCAGTGGAAGCGAAACTGACCGCCGAGGAGCTGGGACTGCAGCACAAGAAGAGTGAGACACGGCGGCAAATATAGAGTGCTGTATGATGTTGTTACTGGGTGGTATAGCTTCACCAGCGGCCCCCTTTCCCTTGGAGGCAGTTCCCTGCTCTCCCCTGCGAGAGGGGCACCCTAATCCATTCACCCTATCCGACTTCAGAATGTATTCGTTGGGTTCGGCAACTCACCACCAGCATCCAACCAAATCTAGCGGATCAACAGCGCCACAACATAGTTCCTGGTCAGCTATGCATGTATGCATGTATGCATAAATAGATACATATGGATGCATGTATTCATATATGCATGTATTCATTTATGCATGTCTGCATGTCTGTATGTCCGTCTCTGTTTCCGCCCACCCTCCGCTCCCCCCCCTCCTGCCCAGTCACGGACCTGCTCTCCGAGACGGATGACGGGTTCTCTCTGATGGCCTACCTGCGGGCCATGTTCACCTTCGAGTGGGCCAACTTCAAGGAGCGGATGCGGCGGGTGGTGGCCAGGACGGTGGACATACCCGACTGGGGCCAGGTCACGGAGCTGGACTTCGGACCGGGTGGGCCGGGTCGTTGTGTGTGAGGGGGGGGTGAGGGGAGGGGAGGGAGAGGTGGAGGGAGAGGTGGAGGGGATATGTTGGGCCATGTGGGTGTGCTTTTGTCTTGCTGCACATGCAACTAGTTGTGTGGTGTCGTGCCGGGTACCTGGTCCCTGGTTGTTGAGGTCGAGTGAGTGACTCTGCTTGCCCTCCTGCGGCGGAAGTGGCCACGTGGTTGGGCGGGTCTTGAATATGTTACCTGTGCCTGACCAGCGTGTTGGGACTCGCTTTCCCTTTCGCCCCCCTTCGCCCCTCCTTTTCTTCTCCTCTCTCCGTCCTTCCCTCTCCTCTCTCTTCTCTACTCGATACACAAACGCGCGCACCAACCCTTATATCTCAAGGCTCAGTTCACTTGGACGCACGCACGCGGCGTGGTTCTTTCGTTGCGGTGGTTGTTTGGGGCTGCGGTAATGCCTTTCTGTCACTGGAGCGGATCCGGACCGGTCACCGATGCGCGACCTCTCGAACCAAGTGTGCTAACAGCAGTTATGGTTATGTGGTGGTTATGTTGGTTGTTTTCCACCCTCAGGCGGTTTGCTGTTTGACTACCGTACAGAATTGCAGTTGTGGGCCTCCTACCGTGGTCAGCTGCTTGCTCGTACCGTACGGGGCATGATGTGCTACGAGAGGGCGCTCAAGGTGATTTGCGCCATGGAGTATCCGACCCCTATGGGTAGGTATCGGGCTGGGCGGGTGTTGGGGGGGGGGGGCGGAGGGGGGGGAAAAGGGGCAGGTAGCTCCGGATGAAAACAATGTTACCCCCGAATGAAGGGATGTACGGAATAGGAGTACGGAACTCCTTTTCTCCCTTGCCCTCCGGATGTTGGGGACGGGGGCGTGGGTGGGGGGGTGGGGGTGGGCATGCGGACGGAGAAGTACTCAATCCGTACTTGTGAGTGGATGTGCAGTGAGTGGTCAGGGGCTAGGAAGGAGGAAAGCCGCCCTCCGCATGCACCCCGTGCTAACCACCTTGTCAACCACCTTGTCAACCATATTTCTAACCACCTTGCCAACCTCACCCTCTCCAAACGGGCCCCCCCCGTCCGTTCCCTCCTCCTGCCAGGCATCACGGACCAGGACTATGAGCGCTGGGTGGAGGCCATGGTGAGCGCAAAGTTCGAGTACGTTATTGCCGTACAGACGTACGGCAGAAACGCCAAGAGCAAGGACCTGCGGCTCCGGCAGCTGTCCCAGAGCGTCGACACGCTGGTGCAGCGGTGAGGAAAGCGGGGTGGGGTAGGATGTGGTTGGGGAGACGGCGTGTGTGTTTTGAGGCAGGGCGACTTCCCCCAACCTCACCCGGCTGCACAACGTGCGCCTCTTCCACACCCCACCTTCACCTTCACCTTCACCCCCATGTTCCATTAAGCCCCTTGGACCCCAATCATTACTCCCTTCACATGTTCGTTTCCCCCCAACCCCTGTACACACATACAAACAAAAACACACACGCACATACACACACGCACATACACACACGCACATACACAAACGCACATACACAAACGCACATACACACATACACACAACACGTACACAAACGCTCGCACGCAGGTTCCCCTCGCTCAAGGTCGCCTACCTGGATGATGCGGTTGACAAGGAGCGCTACGGCCCCAGCCAGTACTCGGTGCTCATTCGCAACCGGAGGCAATCGGACCCCATCGCGGATCCCACACGGCCCTTCAGCAGGATTGTGGAGGCCTACCGCATCAGACTGCCGTACAACAAGTGCGTATGTATGTATGTTGTTACAGGGTGGTATAGCTTCACCAGCGGCCCCTTTTCCCGAGGCAGTTCCCTACTCTCCCCTGCGAGAGGGGCACCCTAGTCCGTTCATCCGTATGTACGTATGTGTGCATGTATGTGTCTACATGTGTAAGTCTCTTGTCCATTGTGTGTGCATCCGAACGAGTGCATGTTGGGAGAGACCTTGGGTGTGTTGTGTAGTATGTAGGTATGATGCGTGGGACAGAGGGGGGTCATATCTTCACCCGTGGCCGCTACCCCGCGAAACCCTGCCTTTCGGGGCACCCTCATCCAGTCACCCTAACCAACTTCTCAGTGGATCGCTCAGGTTCCGCACCCATTACGCAACCGTGCTCGAATAGCAGCCTCAACATGTGTCTGTCTGTCTGTCTGCGTGTCTGCCTGTCTGTCTGTCTGTCTGCCTGTCTGTCTGACTGTCTCTGTGTCTGCCTGTCTCTCTCTGCATCTGCCTGTCTGTCTGTCTGTCTGCATCCTGGGCCTCCAGGTACTCGCACCGCGGCGTGGTGCTTGGGGAGGGGAAACCGGAGAATCAGAACCACGCGTCTGTGTTCACCTTCAACGAGGGGCTGCAGGTGGGCGGAGAGGGGAAAGGGAGGGAGAGGTTGGGAGGGGGAGGGAAATGAGGGTGGTCCAGGGGGGGAAGACACGGGGGATCAGGGAAACAGGGGAAAGGGAGAGACGAAGCAAACCCACACGGGGCACCTGGTCGCAAAGCAACTCCAATGTCGAGGGGGAGGAGGTAAGGCGGGTGACCCACGGTGGGGGCTGGGAGAGAGGGGAAAGGAGGAGAGAAGGAATCTGGTTGCGTATCGCGTACGGCTTCGTATTATGATTATGTACGACATGCCATGTACATTGTAGCGCCAGGGACTACGACCTGCTGCCCTGCTCTGCTTGCCATCGGATCTCCCACCTCGCCAACATTCCAAGTCAACCCTAACCCTCGTTCACTCCACCCCTCCCTTGGGCGCCCCCCCTGGGCCCCCCCCATTCCCGCCCTCCCAAGGCCATCGACATGAACCAGGACAACTACCTGGCGGAGGCTCTCAAAATGCGCAACCTGCTGAGTGAGTTGAATGTGTTACAGACAGACAGACAGACGTAAGGGATGGGAGGGGTTTTGGAGGGGGGTTAGAACAGCCGTCACAAAATACACCACCACGCAGGTAACCACATTTACCCCATACATACCCCATACCCCATACATACCCCATACATACATACATACATACATACATACATACATACATACATACATACATACATACATACATACATACATACATACATACATACATACATACATACATACATACATACATACATACATACATAGATGATGAGAGCGCCAAAAGGACGTAGGTTTTCTGGTGTTTGGGAGGTTGAGGTCTGGTGGTGGTGAGATAGGATCTTGGGAACCAGCCGTCTTGGTAGAGCGGTATTGGGGGGGCGCCGAGCTGGCTACCCTCCCCCCCTGTGGTTTCCGGAGGCTTGATCGCCCTGCGTTGCCGCAGGGTCTTCCCGTTTGAGTACTTTTCAATTTAGACCCAGTGCTGTGGAAGGGCGCGGACTTGTGCGGTGTTACCCCCTCGACGGGGGCTATCTCCCCTGGACTAGCCCAGGGAGGGAGAGGCGGAGGAGGGTAGTAGTCTCAGGAGGCTGTTTGGCGTCTTGTGGTGTGAGCTCTTTGCGCTCTTTTTTGCGTGAGGATTTTTGAGCTTGGTGACCTCCCCAGCCCGGGAAGACTCGTCGGGCTCCCGGTCGCCCAAGTCCTGGTAGCGAGCTCTCTGAGATGCTCGGTTCGTTCGGTCGGCAGGAAGAGCCCCCCAGTTGCGACTTCGTTTATGTTAGGAGACCAACGGGCATAGATCCCGTCTAGTTGGAGCGCCAAACAAGCGCTGTTGCGTGCCGGCCGTCGTTTCCCGTGCGGCCTGACCCGGGGGCGGAGTGCATGAGACTAACCAGCCGTATGCACCCGCCCCCCGCGCTGTGCTTCGGCCCTGGGCCCCCGGCTTTTCAGCCCACAGTGTAATCAACGTCATACATACATACATACATACATACATACATACATACATACATACATACATACATACATACATACATACATACATACATACATACATACATACATACATACATACATACATACATACATACATACATACATACATACATACATACATACATACATGCGTTCATGCCGACCCAGCACACTACCCACTCGGACATCATAGGTATGACCGTTTCATTGGCACGCTTGACTAGATCCCCATAAACCCAAACTCACCTCCAAAACACCCTCTTCCCCCTCCCCTCCCTCTCCCTAGGTGAGCTCAACCCCAGCAACAAGGGCGCGCAGTTCTTGTTGTTCGCGGACGACTCCCCCCAGCAGGTCCTCTCCCCCCACATGACCGCGGCGGAGCTCCGCTTCGTCATTCTGTCCCGCATGAAGAGGTCCTTCCCCACCGCCCTGGTGGGCTTCAGGGAGTGGATATTTAGCGCCAATACAGGTGGGGGGGTGGGGAGGAGGTGGGGGGTTTTGGGATTTTGGGGGAGCGAGGAGTTAGGGGGAGGAGGTGGGGGGAGGAGTTGGGGTGAGGGATGACACAGGGCGACCCCTCTTGTCTTCCCCCCCTTGTGGCTCAGCTCTTAAATATACACACATACACACATATATTTATACACACATGTATATCTACACACATGTAGTATACACATATACTCTGCACGCATTCACCAGCACACCCGCCAGCACACCCACCCTCCCATTTCCCCCACTCACTTCCCCCCCTCTCCCCCCCCACACACATCCCACACCTGCATCCCCACAGGCGCTCTGGGGCAGTACGCCGCGGCCACGGAGTACAGCTTCGCCACCATCCAGAGCCGCATCATGACTAAACCGCCCCGAGTGCGAATGCACTACGGCCATCCCGATGTGTTCAACAAGACCCACATCATGACACGCGGTGGTATGAGTAAGGGCACTCGTACACTCCACATCTCGGAGGATTACTTCATTGGAGCGGCCCACACGCTGAGGGGCGGCCGGATCAGGTGGGCAAATATAGTAAAAGTGCTCATATGTATAGTAGTTTATATAATGGTTTATATAATAGGATAATAATTTTAATAATATCTTTAAATTAAATTTAAAATATTATATATTAATTATAGTGAGTAAGTTATACAAAACAGAATTGGAAAAATATTTCGGCGCACGGCCTTTCGAGAGGCCTCCTCAAGCAGGAATGTAACATCCGTTCCCGCCAACGCCCCGGGGTCCTGCCGCTCCTCGAACAGGTACAAGGAGTACATTGCCTGTGGCAAGGGTCGCGACATGGGCTTCGATTCCATTCTGGGCTACCAGAAGAAGATTAGCGGCGGCGCGGGGGACCTGGCCACCAGCCGGGAGGTGCACCGGCTGGGCACCCGCCTGGAGTTCTTCAGGCTCATGAGCTTCTATCATGGAGGTGGGTTGGGGCGCCCTCTCCTCCCGTACTGTAGGCCGCCGTATCCGCCTCCCCCCCCGCGACTTCCCCTACGCCCCCTCCCCGTACCGCCCACCCGAACCCCTCCCCGTACCGCCCAACCCCAACCCCAACCCCAACAGGTATCGGCCACTTCCTGAACAGCTTCTTGACGCTCAAGGCCGCCTGGTACAACATCTGGGCGCTGCTGCTAACCGCCATGGCTGAGGCGATGGAGCTGGGGGTGGAGGGGGAGAACGGCCGGGTTACCCTCACCCAGACGTACAACGTACAGCAGGTGGGGTTGGGGGGGGACTCTATTACCCTTTACTAACCACCACTACTATTTCATCGCCATGTCACCACCACTTGGTGCAGTACGGTATCGTACGGTACGGTACGACACCTGGAAATACCTCTGGATGAGTAGTCGTCCGCCTGTCGGGGGGGGGCTGCTCGGGGCTCTGCGGTGTCAGAGAATGGTCCTCTGCTCCTCCCTCTCCTGGGGGCCGTTGGGCCCCTCTAGCAGTGTCTTGGTCGTTCCTTCCCGCCTTCCACCCTCCGTCCATGTGCAGGAAGATATATGTTGGAGAACAGGTGGGGCTGCCAGCCCTCGCCAGCCCCATGTGCGCTCTTCCCCGGCCGCCTGCCCTCCCTCATTCTCCCCTCCTGCGCTTTGTCCGCCTTTTGATAACCTTCTGCGAATGATGATGGTGATGATGGTGGTGATGATGATGGTGATGCGGTTGCGTCATCTTCCTGTCGCGCATCCCCCTTGTTTGTTTGTTTGTTTGTTTGTTTGTTTGTTACACAGATTCTGCAACTGGGTACGTTATCCATCATCCCCTACGTGGGTCAGCTCATTTTGGAGACCGGGCTGCTGAGGACCCTCATCACCGTGTTTGGACAGATCGTCACTGGATCGTGAGTGCTGGGGGGGTGGGGGGGTGGGCGGTTGGGTGGGTGGGTGGGTGGGTGGGTGGGTGGTTGCTGGGTGGTTGCTGGGTGGGCGGCGTGTCGCGGGCTGGCTGGCTGTCCACCTCATGCAGCTCGCAGACCGATCTCGCTCGGAGGGGAGGGGGGTGCCGTACTGTAAGGAGGTGCTGGATGGAGCACGACGGCTCCCAGCATATTGGAGACTCGCGGGGAGGCGGTCAGGGGGGTGAGGGGGGTGAGGGGGCCGGGGGAAATAGGGTTAGGACGGCATGGCGGGGGGGAGGGGGTATAGCTCTTGGAGTCGCGGTGTATGTACGTTGATGAGCACAAGGCCGTACCTTGCGTCTGTCACCCGCACCCACCCAGACTCTTTCCTCCTCCTCCTCCTCCTCCCGTGTCTCCTATCGCCCCCCTACTTCCCCCGCCCTTCCCCTACCCCCCCCTCCCACCCCCCATCCCACCCGCCCGCCTCCTCAAGGCTGTTTTTCTACATCTTCCAGCAGCAGACTGTGGCCAACTCCTTCGCCACCGTCATGTCGTTCGGCGGTATGCGGTACATCGGCACCGGCCGCGGCTTCTCCATCCAGACCACGGACTTTGTCCGTATGTACACCCTGTACGCCCGGACGCATCTGTACCTGGGCTTTGAGGTCCTTTTCTTCTGCTTCACCCTCTACGCCCTGAACGACTGCGTCACATGCAACTACGCGGCCCTGACCTGGAACAGCTGGCTGCTGGCCTTTGTGATGATTCTGTGTCCGCTGTGGTTTAACCCCTTCATTTTCAACTTGAGCAAAGTCCAGCGCGACTACATGGCCTGGAAGAGGTGGCTGCACGGCGACGTGGACGGCGGTACGGGTACCAACTGGTTCACTTGGAACCGGGAGCAGCTGTCGAAGCCGCGGAATGATGACGGCAATGTGACGGACGCCTGGCGCAACGCGCTGAGGGAGATCGTGGGCACGTGTCTGCCGTACGTGTTGCTGACGCTGGCGATGGTGTCGCGCATCCGCTTTCGGATCGATGTGGGTACCAGCGTTGGTGGTCGGTGGGGGCGTGGGGTGGGGTGGGGTGGGGTGGGGTGGGGTGGGGTGGGGTGGGGTGTGGGGTGTGGGGTGTGTGGGGTGTGGGGTGTGCGGGGTGTGGGGTGTGGGGTGTGGGGTGTGGGGTGGGGTTGGTTCGGGTGGTGTGTCGGGAGGGGCTATATCTTGGCGAGCAACGTCCCCACCCCCCCGGGAGGGGGGTTCCGGGGGATGGAGGTCCGGCAGGGGGCGAGGGCTTTGCGGTGTGTTGCGCCGGCGTGTATGTGTGTGTGTATTGGGACGACGTGGAGTGCCGCCGTGAATGCCCCATACGGCTGCCAAGTAAAACCCTAAGAAACCTAACCGCGCCCAAGGCTTTGGACCGCTACAGCTGCTACCACCTTTTGTGAGATCCGTAGCCATGACTGCTACCACTGGTGGTGGTGCTGCTGCTGCCACTCTTTCCCGCGCTGATCCCCGTTTCACCCACACCTCCTCCCTCTCCCCACGACAGGGCGGCCGGCTGCTGGACAGTCCCTACATTGAGTTCCTGGTTGCCACTGCGCTGTTGTGGGCTGTCGTACTGCTTTTGTCGTACGTGGGTCACAATCTGCTGGAGAGGGCCAAGAGCAAGGAGTGGCGCATCGTGCGGTGAGGGGGGAGGGGGGGATGTGTTTTAATTGGCAGGTGGGTGGGAGGACCTGGCCGGTGTTAGACGTTGGGGGCGTGGGCAGTACGGTCCCTGCCCGTGCGGTGACGTGATACTGCAGCTATTTGGCTGTCACTGCATGGCGGTCGTATTAGAGTATGGGGTGGGGTGGGGTGGGGTGGGGTGGGGTGGGGTGGGGTGGGGTGGAAGCGGACAGCCGTGTGTTGGCCTTCTCGGTGGTGGTCCCCCAGGGAGCGTCCCGCAGCCCCGCACCCAATGGCTTCTCCCTGCTCCCCTGCTTTTGCATATCACCTTCCCCCTTCCCCCTTCCCTTCCTAGGTATGGGGGTTGGCCGGGGGGGACGAAACCAAACGCGCCTTCCTCTCCCATTTTGCCCGGATCCGTTCCCCTTCGAATTTCACCCCCGGTCCATCTGTGCTCCGGCGGTTGCGATTGTCCCTCCTCGCTTCTTTTCCTCCTCCCCCTTTTTCCCTTTTCCTTTTTTCCCTTTTCCTAACCACCTAGCTGCTTTCCCCCCTCCTGTCCCCCCGCCTGCGGTCCCGTCCCCCTCCCCCACTTGCAGCTACGTGGTGACGCTGAGTGGTGTGGTGCTGTTCATTGTGTACATGGTGGTGCTCACTCGCTTCTACTCGGGCAACGGCCTGACACACATCATGCAGGTGGCGTACGCCAACTTCATCATCCTGATAACAGTACACCGGGCCGCAACTTACCTTTTTACGCAGGTGAAGAGGAGGTGTTGTGTTGTGTTGTGTGTTGTGTGTTGTGTGTGTGAGGGGGGGGCGCTTGAAGGAAGAAATGGGGAGGGATGGAAAGGGAAATCTCGGACGGAATCCAAGGCGCGCTCCTTCACACACACCCCTGCGAATATGGGTGTGGGGATTAGGCCGATAGGCGCACGGGTGGCAGCACTTGCAAGGATTGCGGTTATTTTAGCTGCGGTTCCCCCCTTCCTCCTCCCCCCCTCCTCCTCCCCTCCTCCTCCTCTCCTCCGCCCCTCCTCCGCCCCCTCCTTTTCCCCGGCCTACCGAACAACGCACCGGCATGACCATCCTTGTCCCTGTTACTCTACCCCACCTACCCCACCCCGCCAATTTAACTAAACTATCCGAAAACTGGGAAAAAACCTCGACTAAAATGCGACGTGGGAAACCGATTCAAACCCTTTTCAGAACAACACGGTTCGCGAGTTCGTGGACGCGGGTTACTACACCATCGACGTGTTGGTGGGCTATGGCATGTTTGGCATCCTGGCCATCCTCTCCTTTGTGGGAGTGGTTAACCTGCTGCAGAGCAAGCTGCTCTTTAACGAGGCTTTCAGTCAGTCCGTACAGACGGCGCGCATCAAGATGCAAGTCAAACGCAGCGGCAAGCAAATCAAGCGCAAACCAAAGCCCGGACTGCTCATGACAATGGACGAATGGATGCGCAGCAGGCCAGGCAGCGGAGCCAGCGGCGCGCCCTCCCTAGCGCCTACCATATACGACCACGGCGGCGGCGGCGGCGGCGGTGGCATCAGCCGCGCCACGTCGCTGGCTCCGTCGAAAATGTCATCAGCTGTAACGTCGCTGGCGCCATCAGCGGCGCCGTCACTGGTGCCGTCGGCCTTTCCAAGCGCTGGCAACAGCGGCGACATAAGCCGTCAGAACAGCTTTAACGGTTTAACTAATAATAACAACAACAACAACAATAATGATGTCAACCCGGGGGGGCTTCAGGGTTCAGAGATGTTGAGCCGGCAGGTGGTAGATCCCCCCGCCGCCATGGACGCCGGGACTGCGGAGGCAGCCGCTGCCGGGCCCGCTGCCCCTGGCGGAGGCAATCCGGACGATTCTCCGCTGGCCGCCCCTTCGGATGTGGGATTGCGGGAGAGGAGGCTGAGGTTCGGGTAGAAAGGGACCCCGCACAGGCCCGACGGATACCCAGCAGGGGCAAGGGACAGGGACCGAGCGGGTGAGTTAGTGCGTGGAGATCTAGGTGGGTGGGTGGTGGTGGATGTTCTGTGGACGGCCCGCAGAGGAGGGGCGGGGCAGCCGCAGATGAGGAGGCGGGGCAGCCGCAGAGGAGGAGGCGAAGCCTTGAGTTGTTTTGTGTTTAATCGTTTCCGGCGAACCAATAGGGCTTGTGCCGCGTTGCATGGCATGGGCATGACATATGGGCATGGGCATTGCGTTGCGTTGTGTTGTGTTGTGTTGCGCTATTTCATTCCGTGTGCATCACATGCGTCTTGCCGCTAGCTAGCTAGCTTGCCGGCTAGCTAGCTGGGTGCGTGCGTGCGTGCGTGCGAACAAGCGAGAGGCCGCCTCAAGGGGATGCGCAAGAGGGAGGAAGGGTGGGGTGGGGGTTGGCGAGACGCCCACCCGGGTTTGTCGGATCTCTCTGTAGGTATGTGTCCCACGTGTTTATCTATGGTGAATGCACGCATGTATGCGGTATGTATGTATGTATGTACGTATGTGAGGGGAAGATAAATGGCATCAAGCCTGCAGGAGGAGGTTATGATGGAGGATTGCGTTATGATGGTGCGCAGCAGGAGGTTGGCATATGTTCTGCCTGAGGAGTGCGTGAGAGGCGCCGCCCCGAGCCGTCCGCCGTCGGACTCAAGCAGCGCCACACACCGAGGCCCGGAGGCCTGACGCTTCCAACTCCACCATCCCTTTGGTCGCCGTTTACTAGCTAGTTACGAAGAGAGAGAGAGAGATAGGGAACCATTGCAGCTATTTTCAAACTGACGTATATGCCATATAAACTTGTAGTATATGCACATGCACTGCTATTGGCGGCGCCCTCCCGCAGCGGCCCTCGAGTAGTACACTAGTAGCCTTAGCTGACCAGCTGACAGGTGGGGCTTATGCGGGCCCATTCTGTACGGTGTCGTTCCTGGACCTGTCGTACCTAGGGACGGCTGGGACAGAATGAGTGCGTTCTCCTTTGTGGGTGTGATGTGATGTGATGTGGGGGCCGGGGCGGGCCGGGGCGGGGTGGGGCAACCTTCATGCGGTTGCACGCTGCGATAATGGAAGCCATCTCAACCCTTGCATGGTCGTGCCCGCGTTCCGCTTTCCGCTTTCCGCTTTCTGTTTGGCCCCATCATACACCTCATCTCACCTCAACGCATCCTTCTTGTGTGGCGATTTTCAATTGTAGTGATCAATTTTCGGTCATTGCGGGTATGGTGGTGGTGTGTGTGTATGTATGTACGTATGTATGTAAGTACATGATGACGCTTTGGAAACGCGCTTCGATTATTTATTTTTGCGTATCGGTCCTTTTGGCGATATCGCCGAGTGCCCAGCGTGTGCGTGCCTTCCGTCCTACTTTTTGCTGTACCACGCATAGCATGGCAGTATGTGCTTCTCGTTGAGCAATGAGCTAGGCTTAACCTAGGTATAACCCGTGGGCGCCAGCGCAAGCAACCTATATATAGCTGTGTTACGCACCTAGCGAATTATGTGGGGTGGTTTGCCTGATGATGCTTGGCTACTGGAGCTCGGTCTAGCCAATCGCTGCCCTATCTATTGTAGAGTATGTTGAGCATATCATGCGTTCCGAGTACTGCTGCTTTTTGCATGCGGCACTGCATGCGGCGACGCTGACGTGGCACGCCGTGTTTGGCCGGTTAGCCGCCAGGTAATGCTGCCACGCTCTGTGGGCCGTCATTCGGCTGCGTCGTTTTGTTTTTTGTGTGCTATGCTAACCTAATTCTGAACCTAACGAGCTCTTGCCGGCAAGTGAGCAAGTCGCGCCTGTATGACCGGCCATGAATGACGCGCGTCTGTGCCGGCAGGGGAGGGGGTTAACTGTTGCTGCTAGGTGTACGGTTGTGGGTTGGCGCCGGGATGAGTGCATGTGTCCGTGTACTGGTATGTGCTTAGCAGCGAGCAGGTGCGTGCGTGTGTGCGTGTGTGTGCATGTATGTACATACATACGTACATACATGCGTTTGTTGCTGCGGTGTCGTGTGAGCTCTACCGCGTTCTCCAACCACCACATGCCCGTGTGAGCTGCGCGCGCACCCAGCTTATTTGCAAGGCCAGTTCAGAAGGACGCACGTTTATGCGATTTCGCGAACGCTGCAATAAGATACGTATGTTAGGCTAGTCGCGATAACCCGTGTCAGGTACAGAAGCGCTTGTGTACCGCGAGGTGTCTGCCGCACGTGATTTGGCATGGTCAGAATAAAGATGGCGTTCTGCCTTTACGTGTACCACAAATGATGCATACTGTGAGCCAGCTCTGTAGCGGAGAATCTCTGCTGAACCCCTCATTCCCCTAGTGTTCTAGGGCTGCTGGTGGGGCCCCCATAGAGATCGGCAAGACAGCCCTTGGTCTGGGCGGCGTTTGACGGCGTGTGATGCTGAATTCTTCTGGGGGGTAGTCACGCTGCAGTGGACAGCTGTAATGATGATTACAAAAGCCCTCGGCAGCAATCCTGAAGTCGAAGCCGAGTAAGACTGTACGAGCATCGTACAGAGGGTGAGCAACGCAGACGCGCGCAGCGGGAGACTTGGGCAACGCCATTCGACATCTTGGACTTGCCCAAGATGCGTTTTGCGGCGCAAAGGGGGGGGCGAATTCTAAAAACTAGTAGCAGAAATAGGCTGGGGGACAGGAAAGCAGCTAGCGTTAGTGGTGTTGGGGGGAGTTACTCAAACAGAGCCGCAGCACAAACTGAACCAGGTGGTCGACAGAGCTGCTTTCCTTTTCAGGTCGCGCACTGTTGCTAATGCTTGCAGCCTTGCGTTCGTGTTGCCGTACTCCCTTGTAAGCGGTCCTGTTGTAAGCTGCCAGTCCAAGCTTTTTCCTTCCCCTCCCCCTTTCCCAGCTTGCTGTTGTTCTGCTGGCACCGCACTACCTCTCCACATTGTGGGATGCGCCGGTCTATCCTTGAGTGTCGTACGCCTTCGGCCGGTACCGTACGATACGGTTGCGCCGTGGGTAGTGCGGTTGATGCCGGCACCCACGTCCGTTAGCCTGGGCACCGTTTTCATCAAAGCCAATCAGCAGAGGAGCGCATCTATCCGCACGTGCTGTTGTCGGTTCGCGCCTTTCGGAGGTCCCCCTTGGTGTGCTCTGCCTCGAGCTGATCAGGGTGGTCGAGTGCGCTTTCCGGGGCAGAGCGCTGGAGGCCGCGAGCTGGGGAGAGAGTACGTCGGTGGCAAGTGGGCAACGTACCTTGGCCCGCCTGCTGCCTCATGGCGACTTCAGTTTTCCGCATTTTCCTGTTCCCCTTCTGTTTGTGGGAGGCTGAGCCTCTACGGTGGCCTTGTTGGGCTTTGTAATCGGATCTTGGAGAGGCCTTTCCCCGTACGGGGAATTTCTTAAATTTGTTAAGAAACATCCCATCTAGGGTAATATTGATCTTGTTCAGGATGTAGTTTGTATATCGGCCATCGCGGTCCCGGACAGCCCTGGAACTGGCGTAGTTGTACCTGCGGTGAAGCTTTAGGCTGCAGCCCAGGGCCGTGCAGCCTCACCTGCAAAACGTTGTACCCGCGCTACGTCCATTCCCATTTTCTTAAAGCTTCTGGGCTTTGGGTTTTATCAAATACCTTGCTTGTTTAAGGCTGACATGTTTGGGACAGCGGTTGGCGTTTCAACTCTCACAGATGCCAAACCTACAACTGCCAGATCCAACATTGTGAGGCTAAGCATTGCCTACGACTTATGGTATAATAGTTTTCCACAACAGTTCGCTGTCTTCAAACTGTGATTCAGGTTTAGGAAGGATGATGCTGCAATCCCGTATCCATGCTCGCCCGGCGACACGTATCGCGGCGCGCCCGGCACGCCACCATGCTTTGAAGACCCAAGCACTGTTTGGCTTTGGTGGCGCTAAAACTGCAGAGCCGTCGACAAGCGAATTTTACAGCTTCACCGTTAAGGTGTGAAGATCCAGCCAAATCTTGCATGTTGCCCAGCCCATACAGCGGTTTCTATTATTGCCGGCTACCAATCATAAGGAATTCCTATTGTTTCATGGTTCCATGTTTCATGAGTAAATGTTGGCCTCAAGTTACTGTTCTCAGAGCTTGTGCGATGGGCGTTGCGCAGGACATCGATGGCAAGAGCTTCCCGCTATCGACCTTGAAAGGCAAGGCTGTTTTAGTCGTCAACCTCGCTTCGCAGTGCGGCTTCACGCCCCAATACAACGAGCTGCAGGCCATCTATGATAAGTTTGGCAAGCAGGTATGTTCTGCACCCCGCTCCGGAACCGGTTCTTCCCTGTTCGGCCACGTCCAAGTGACCCGTGCTCCCCCTCATTCCAGTGCCAATCCCTTACCAGCTCCGAGGATGGATGTTATGGTCTTTCCCATCCTAATACCCCACGGGGGTTTCGCTCAACAGTTTGTGTAACGCATGCTCTCTTTGCATATTTCGGCGACTCCTTCCCTTCGCCCATTTGGCAGACGTTGTCGACTCTTTTTAGCGCCTAATCACTGACCTTCGGCTGCTGACCTCGTTTCATGACTCCATGTCGCCCCTGATGCTAGCAGGGCTTTACCGTTCTGGGCTTCCCCTGCAACCAGTTCGGCGCACAGGAGCCCGGCTCCAACCAGTCAATCAAGGCCTTCGCCAAATCCCAGTACGGAGTGACCTTCCCGCTGATGTCCAAGGTGGACGTGAATGGCCCTGGAGGTAGGTGGATTACATTTCATTGAATAGTAGAGGACTTTCCGGCTAAACAGTTTCACCAAAGCAGCAGTCTGCAGTGCAACTGCTTTTTTATAATCGGCCGTCCCCCGCTGAGTGGCCTGAGTGGTTCCTTACTTCGCTTGTGCCGTTATGGTCCCCTCGTGTGCGCATCATCACCTCTTCCAACACCACCTCTCGTCCGATGCACCGGTTTTCCTGCACCTCGGCAGCTGAGCCTCTGTTCAACTGGCTCAAGACGCAGAAGGGCGGTGTTATGGGTAATGACATCAAGTGGAACTTCAGGTGAGTGCATGACGACGGCGGGGAGGGGTGGGGGGTTTTAAGCAAGGCCGGATAAGGCGAAGCTGGCGGGGCGGCGTTTGCTAGAGGTTTGACATATTGAGGAATGGTCGGACACTAATGAGCGAGGGCAGTGAAGGATCCGTGGGATCCAACGAAAGTGAAAGTGAAGCCTTTGGTCCTAGGCTCGAAAGGAATTTCAGAGCACCGCAAATGGGGATATGTGAGTTTTGGGTCGCGAATAAAGCTGCTGCTGCGCGCTGTGCGCTGTACGCTGTACGAGACGGCGCGGGAGCTGTCGGTCTCGAACGAGGGGCCTGGGGGAATCAGGGGCGGTGCACCCCTTCGTTGCCAATGCTTATCAAGGTGAACCCGTGCCCTGAGTTCCCTCGTCTAATCGTGTCGTGCCGTGTTGTGGCGACTTCCCCTCTGTACCCTTGACAGCAAATTCCTGGTGGACAAGGAGGGTGTTGTGGTGGGCAGGTGAGAGGGTTTACGGTAGGAAAGGGCAAAATCACCATCCGGGAAGAGCTACAGCGTTTACTGCTAGAGCGAGAGGAATGCTAAAGTGTAAACCAGGGTTTAAAGCTGGGGATGCCTTGCTTCGTCCGACGCCGAACGTGTGCTGCTGACTTCGATTGGGTTTCAATTACAGCCGCAGGGAAACTGACCCTCCCTCCCTCCACCTGGACGTTATTTCAGGTATGCGTCCACGGCCACTCCGGGTTCCTTGGAGGGCGATATCCGCAAGGCCCTGGGGGCATGAGGCTCCACCACTTTGAGGAGCCGTCACGGGATGGAGTTGTCTGCCGGGAAGAGCGGCTGGCTCCTTCCCCGCTGGGCCATATCATATGGGGACTGGAGTGGATAGAAATCCACTGAGTGGATATGGAATGTGGTAGTTTTGGGATTTTGCATTTACTGAGAGATGTTGCCAATTGCACCGTTATGTTGTCCAGGTCTAGGGGTTTGTGTCTCGTCGAGATGAACGAAGGAGGGGTGGTGAAGCATGAAAAAAAGGGCTGAGAGACGAGTGAGGTGTGTGTGTGTGTGTGTGTGTGAGTACAGATGGTCATAGCAGGTAACATTGCAATGATGACGCGGAGGGGAATGTGTTGCGCGTGTGATGAAATGTTGGACATGTCCAGCGCAGGAAGCATTTACATGATATGTGCGTGCCGTACATTTTCTGCACGTACAAGATCCGGCTCGCGTCGTGGCTTCGACGACTGTCATGATGGCTAAACGTTTATATATTGCACAATACCAGCCAGTGAGTAACATGCCTTTAAAACTAAAACCTCACCTGTGTGATAGCTAAACTATAATGACGGGAAAGATTGTGGCAAGTCAACTGCTCCAAACTTCCAAAGGAAGCCGAACGTCTCAAATGCAACCAACAACCGTGGAAACGTCCACTCCGTGGACTAGTATGCCATCAGTACTAATTTAGCGTGTCAAGTCATATGTTTGACGCGTGTATGTTTGTATTTTTAACAAAGTAGTCTATTTCCACATGCACTTCACCAACTTGCTCGGCAAAACAACTCCAAAAACTGCCTTCCGTTTCCACTCAAGAGTGCAGGTCGAAGAACAGAACTATCCGCGACGGCTGATTATGGCAATGCGCATCATCGCCACCCAAATGGGGATGCGTAGCGTGTAATAAGAAACCCGGTGGCCCGGTTTTCTCTACACACTAAATCCCGAATAGCGTGATAAAGGGTTCGACACTGAGAGACGCTAGTCGACCCCCCAAAACCCCCTAACACAATCGAACTAAACTCCTATGACATTTCCTCGTCTGGATCCAACATCCATATCGTGTGCCCTCCATCAGGCTTCCGCTCCTCCATTCCAGCTGCTTTCGCTGCTGGTCCTCTTGCTGCTGACCACGCGCTTCGCTGCGCTGAATGCTGCCCGAATGGGACTTGTAGTAACAAGTCATACACGTCGTCATACGGCCTCAGGAGTCCCGCCTCCTCCCGGTGCCACCTGTGGTTTCATTCACGATGCCGGCCATGCCATTGCCACACTGCCTCCAGCCTTTCGTTCTGCCCCTAACCGTGATACGCCGCCTGTTATGTTAGATGCGATGCAAGAGGGGCTTTGGGCCTCGCACATCTACGCGTTGCTAGCCCCGCCTGCCGAGCTCGCGCTCGTGGCTCCCCCGTCGTCAATCATGAATGCAAACGCTTGCGGAGGACAGTCCTCACTCCGTAGCGCCGGTGGCAGCCCCTCCGTCAGGCCCTCGTGCAACCGCGGTTCGTTGATGACCTGCAACAGCTGCCTCGCCACCACACCGCCCCCACCGCCGCCACCGCCGGTGCCCTGTACGATGAGCGGCACGCTGTCCTCGTCCAGCAGGAACGTCACGATGAGGCCGCCGTTGTTGGCCACCGAGTGGCGCCGCTTCATCTCCTCAAGGACCTCCCCGGACACATTGCAGGAAACGCCCACAGCAGCAGCAGCAGTAGCAGCCGGAGCAGCAGCAGCCGGGGCTGCCGGTGGTGATGGCTGCAGCGCCGCCGGTGCACCGTCAGCCTCATCTGCAGCTGCCGCTGCGGCTGCGGCCGCGACTGCAGCCGCCGCCGCCTCCATGACCGCCGCGTCTGGCTTCACGACCTGTCCGCCGCCGTCAGGTAGCTGCACCGCAGCCCCTCCACCCTCCACAACGTCCTGCTCACCTTCACCGCTCGTGGCGTCCGCACCATTCACGGCGGCCTCCGCCGCAGGTCCGCCTCCGCCAGCGTCCGCCTCCGTCGCCGCCAGCAGCACCGCGGACTGTGCGGTTGCTGCTGGCGGCGGTAGCGGTGGCGGAGAGTCATCCCAGAAGGTGGTGGCCAAGCGGTACAGCTGCTGTACATTCAGTGCAGGACACATGGTGATGAAGTCGTCCAGGCGAAGGGCGCCCTTGTTGGCCAGTATAAGGAAGTGGGCAGCCTGCGGCGAGTGGAGCGGGGGGGAGAGGAGCCCGCGGGGTCCGTGGGACAGGTTGTCAGCTTGTAAGGGTCGTAGTGAAGTTTAGGCCAGGCCCTGACACCTGAAGAGGAGTGGTGTGGAGGAAGAAGGAGCTTGGCGAGTGAAAACTGAGGGCAGTGTCGCCCTCCGCGCGTGTCGGACCCAACGATCACCAGCAGGCGTAGGTGCAGAAAGGACTCTGCTTGTTGGCAACGGCAAACGGACACTTCTCACAACCGAATGTGTTATATATATATATATATATATATATTATATTATATATGTTATATATATGTTATATATGTTATATATATATGTTATATATATATATATTATATATATATATATATATGTATATATATGTATATATACATATATATATATATGTGTATATATATATGTATATATATATGCGTATGTACATATACGTGTATATGTAGATTTACATGTATGTATATACATATATATATACATATATATACATATATATCAGTGTGTTTTTTTTCGTGGAGGCCGATCCTGAATCTGTTACGAGTTCCGTAATAAATATGCCATCAGTCCAATACGTTTATTACTGCCAGAATTTTTTTCTGGGGGGGGGCAAGCCCCCCCAGACCCCCCCTGCCCACACAGGGTACCTGATACACCAGCACATATTTAATAAATATTTCATTCGAGTGCGGGAGGCGCCCTGTCATCTGGTTCTAATGTCTCTCTTGTACTCGCTATATTGAATGAAGTATTACCAGCATCGCCGCTACTGGGGGTTGGCCTGCCGGTGGTCAGGAATGCTTTGACGCTACCCTGACCAGCTATAGTAGTTAATTTCTTGGGCCCCATCGCTCATTTATAACTTATTTATACTAAAATAGAACGTCTCTGGGGGCCTTCGGCCCCCAGAGACGTCTTCTGGGGCCCGCCCCGGCTCCGTAACGACCGTACCAGGCCTTTACCATGGTCTATGACGGAGCGCAGAACGCAAATATGCCATTTTATTACGGAACCGTAATATATTACGGAAAAAAAATACACTGATATATATACATATATACATACATACATACATACATACATACATGTAAATCTACATATACACGTATATGTACATACGCATATATATACATACGCGTATATATATGTACAATTATGTCCTATAGCCTTCATGGCTTGCTGTACGGTTGCGTTCGGGGTGCCGGATAGGACAGGGCGAGGCGAAACCGGGGCTGCCAAGGGCCTTACACTACTGCAGAATGAGAGCAACAATAATAAGCTCAAATAGTGTAGGCAGAATGCCGGAACTATGGAGCTGTCAACTGAAATAGTAAATTCGAAATCTCAGCAAGCCATACGGCTGCCGTACATAAACTAGCTTAGAGGCTATACTCGCTTTGCTCCTGCCGCATCTAAGCTACAAGTATAGATAGGTAAGAGAGAGAGAGACAGCACACCCCGAGAACGGGTCCAAGAGCGACGCCGGTATGGCTGCCGACTGGCGCATCGCATCTGACCCGATACGCCCACATACACTCGAACCTCATACACTTTCCTTACCCCTACCCCCGCCCTTCTTCTGCACCCCAGCTACCCCAGTCCCTGAACTAGCCACCTAGCCGCCCACCTAGCTCACCCACCTGCCGAATGTGCCGCAGGTCTTCCACCAACATCGCCAGCTCCTCACCAGCCGCCACCACCACCGGGCCTGTCCCCGCACGGCCTGGCAGGTGACCCTGGCCAGGAGCCTCCTGTCCTCGCCCCGCTGCAGCACCCGCTGCCGCCGCAGCTGCCCCGGACTGCGCCGTTGCCCTACACCCCGTCAGCCAGGTGTCCAGCAGCTGCAGCCCCTCCACAAGGTAGCGCGCATTGGAAGTGGAGCAGCACTCGGGACGGAGCAGCAGCTGATTGAACAGCTGGACATCCACGAAGGTCACAGTCTGGAGGGGGGAGCCCAAGACGTGGCGGATAAATGGGGTCGGGCTGCAGGAACGAAGGACGTTTTAGCAGGAACTCTCACACTGCGGCTTGTGCATCACGGCATCATCCCTCCGAAACCATCCCAAGTAACAAAACCCCCAAGCACCCCACCGATACCTCCTGCTGGACCTTAAAAATCTCAAAGTACATTATCGTGCGAATTGTGTCACGAGGAAACCGCTAACAGACCGTACTCCCCCTTTACCTCCCCCCCACACAATCTCCACAACCTCCATTGCAACCCCTTCCCCCCTCGGGGGCCCTGTGTCTGTTTCCCAAACAACAACTTCCCCCCCTTCTGGAGTAAGGAAGCCTCTCTCGCACCAACCCCCTGCCCACCCCATCCCCCATGCCCACCACCACCTGCTTGTAGAGACAGCGGATCAGTATTCTCGGCACGTGGGCCTCCCGCAGCAGCGCCAGGTGGCTGGACAGCACCGAGATGAGGTCCAGCCAGGGCTGCTGCGGGGAGGAGCCCTGGGAGCCATGGGAAGTGGAGGACAACGCGACCCCACCGCCGCTGCCGCTCATAGAACCGCCTTCAGCTGCAGCAGGTTGACCTGTTCGAAGGCGGTACCGCACACAGCAAAACAGCAACAAAGCGTC